ACAGGATACACAGCTCACTGTGTATGTTTTGTGTTCAGAACCAAGGATGGAGGAAAGTTGTAGAATACAACACAGGTGAATGCTGTTAGAAGTACCTTGGATGTGTGGCACATTTGCTTCTGAATTGCTGGTCATTGTACATTCATAAACTATCTACTATTAGCACATTTTTACTACTCTCCCATATTTAGTTATATGATGCCTGCTGGGTTTCTACCCACAGTTTTACAAAGCTATAGGATAGTGGTTGCTGGATTTCTGAGACAATACTGTTTCTGAATTCTTGATCCTTCTGCCTTCAACTCATGAGTGTGAGAAGTACAGGTCTGCACCACTACACCCAGGTTAGAGATCTCTTTTCACCCCTTGGTTGTTGGTCAAGAAGTATCTATTTAACAGTGTTTTAAAATGTTAAATTCATTCCAGGACCTGGTGCATAAAGTCTATTTTTACATAATCAAGTAAACTTTCTATTTGAAAGCATTTTAAATTAGCAAAAGCATGCAAATAAGAGAATGATGAAGACTATACTCAAAGTAGGAAAGCAAAGAAAATAACAATGGTAGATTAAAGCCACCCCTCCAAAAAATGCTAACAAATCATCTGACCTAGTTAGTAGATTTGTAATATTAAAAAAGAAACAAAAAGTTTTATTTACCAAGAAGAAATCATAAGTAACCAAGAGAAAGAGAACTTAATTGCTCCTACTAAACCCAGAACAACCTGTAACAAGAATATTTACAAACAAGAATGCCTGCCATGGAGACCAGTGCCTGCATCAGATAAAAGAACAACTTAAAACCAAACTGCATCTTAGTTAAGGAAGGCCACAGGTCTATAGAGTGTTTTCCTTCACTATTCTCTAATGATATGAAACAGACCTTATGGACATTGGAAATATGGACTCAGATTACATCTCTGTACAGCTCTGGATTCTTTTCCTTTAAAAGGAACTGTTTGGGGTTACAAAGGTATAAAAATAAAAACATATAAGGATGAGAAAAAGGAGTACAAAGAGAAACTCATTATTTTTATGGCATCATTTGACAGGAACCCATTAGGGACATAACTACTGGGAACAGTGCTTGGGCATGACAGTCCATTAGGCAACTTATTTTTGGATGCTCATTAGGAAGCAGCTTTGCCTAATGCACTGTTTTCCCTACCTGGTACACAAGAAAAGCTTTCAAAGTCAGTTTGTTACTGCAAGAGCGATCATAGTTTTGACTACAATCTCTGGAGACTTCATCAGCTTCCTTTCTTTCCATCACAACTCACTTTTGTAAGACATTAAAACTTTGTCAATATTCCTGGATTCTGTATCTCAGAAGATATTGTTAAATCCAGTTCATGCTTGCCTCTGCTACTCATGAACAGTTACAGCAGACTTGATCATTGTGGCTGACACTAAAACATTTTCACTCTTACCATGTGCAAACACTTTGGCAGCCTGTTCTATGGAAAGCAAGAATTTCTGATTACATTGTTTGACTTCTTTCGTAGTTACTACATTTGTGATCAAATGAACAGGCAAGAAGCTACATAAGGGGGAAAAGGTTGATTTTGGCTTTCAGTTCTAGAGGATGCAGCTACCAAGAGTATGAGGCGGCAGGTCATATTGCACTTGTATTCAAGAAGGAGAGATATATGAGAACCTCCAAAACAGGGTTATCTAAACAGTTACCCACTCTTGTCCTCATTGGACAAATAATAATTATCTTAGACTACATACCAAGAATATCTGTTGTTTTTTTTTTCATCTTCCTTCTTCATGTCTACAAATCTTACAATGCACTGGTCAAGTGTTGGGTACCAATGAATACTTGCTGAATCAATAGACCACTTCTTAATTAAAAAATATCAAAGAAGTTGTTGATGCTTATTGCTTATCTTTACCATAGCCTCTCCTCCAAGAAGTACAGCATGGAAGAAAGTTTATGCATGTCCAACAGTTGCTGGTTGGATCCTGTATCTATCCAAGCACTAAGAGGCAAAGGCACACTTCACTCAAATAAATCCACAAAGAATGTAATCTTAATCCTCAGTAAAAATGTTGGTTTAGGTGTAGCAGCAGAATTTCAGAGTCAGCCACAGTATATCCCTCACTGGCTGAAAAGTCCCTGCCTTGTTCCTCTATAAATAGAGGACAAGCAGAGAAAAGTTTCTAGAGACTCCAGCAGATGGTATATCATTATGTAACTGCACTCCTAAGAACAAAAGTCTGGTTTTGGTGGTGCACACCGGAAGGATTTGCTGAAGGACACAGAGAAAGAAAAATCACAAGTTCAAAGACAGCCTAGGCTACACATTGCCGGGTGTTGGTGGTGCATGCTTTTAATCCCACCCAATCTCTGTGAGTTCGAGACCAGCCTGGTCTACAAGAGCTAGTTCCAAGACAGCTTCCAAAGCCACAGAGAAACCATGTCTTGAAAAACCAAAAACAAACAAACAAACAAACAAACAAAAGAACAACAGATGCCAGGTGTAAGCAAAAGGGTTTTTGAAGAATAGTTTGGGTAGGAGACTTATGTAGAACAAACACACAGCCTTGCACCTTTGAATCCTTTATCTTTTAGATAATGAAAATAGAATATTTAAGAAGAAAATTCAGTATCTAAATGGTATTTTAAAAGTACAAGTTGTATTTCCATATCTCATTGTTAAACAATTAATAGTGAAAATTTAAAGAGACATCCTGAGACTACAATGATGGCTCCTTTGTTGAGAGCTTTTGATGCTCTGAAGATCTGAATTTAGTTCCCAGCACCAATGTGGGGTGCCTTACAACTGTCTATAACTGCTCTAGGGGATCTGACACATTCTTCTGGCTTCTGTGAGCATATGAAGAAACATTAAATACACTCATATAGACACATGCATACATAAATAAAAATTAATCTAAAAATAAGGAAGCAAATGCAGAAATACCCAGTCCCTTGTAACCCAACATTACTGTCTCTTCTGAGCAGAATTTACCACTACATTTTGCACGTGGCTTCACAGGGATTAGGTAGAGAAATGTGAAAGAGAAGGTTTCCACCTTAGAGTCACATTATGAAATCAGTTTTAGAAACTTGCCATGTGATCACTCAGCTTGAACATGAATTGTGAGTTGAGAAATTGATGTCTGGGTGTTCCAACAATGGCACAGGAAATAATTAAACTTGATCCATAACCAAAATCATGCAAAATTGGCAATGTTAATTGGGCTATTCTGCCCTCAAAGTTTTCCTGAAAACAGAGGTTAATGATAAATTCACCCACCAGTGACAAAATCTCTTCCTTGTGGTAGAACAAACATGAATTGTAACCACATTATGATGGGAAAAAAGAAACAGTTTGGGTGATTAATGTGTGTGGTCCAGCTTGAAAGTGGGTGAATGGGGAAATTAATGATCTTTCCAGTGCTTTTTAATCGTTCTCTAGTTCTGGAAAAAGAGCTGGTTCCTGAGGCTGAAGTACTAAAATAAGAAAAAGCACAACAAGGATATACATATATATATATATATATATATATATATATATATATATATATATAAAATTTATTACATTGGCTTACAGGATATAGCCCAGGTAGTCCAATGATGACTGCCTCCTGATAGAAAGGACAAGAATTCCACTGTTGTTCAGTCCATGAGTCTCCATGTCTCAGGAGTAACAATCTGGTGCTGGTGTCCTGGAAGATTCCTGGAGAGCTGTTGTCCTCAGTCTGTTCTGGAATCCAGAATTAGGTTCTAATCCTAGCAGATGAATGCCTGAGTAACAGGATATAAGAACTTTCCAGATAAAGTGGGTGAAAGATTATAAACAGCTCCCTTCTTTCATTTCCTTTTATTATGTGGATTTCCATGAAAAGTTATGGCCAAAATATAGTGTGGGTCTTCATACTGCAAATGATACATCAAGAAAATATCTCACAGGAATGCCCAAATGCTTGAGGTTTCATTTATTCTAGATATAGTCAAGTTTATAACCAAAATTATCCATCACATTTATTAAAATATTTCTTGTAAAGATGGAAAAATAATATGATTTCAGTGGTATGTCTGCAATGACCTATGTGTGGCTATATATTGATATTTGCACAGAAAAATAAGCTAAAGACAGATAAATTATAGAAATACTTTTCAAAGCCCAACAATTGGTAAACAACAAAAGAAATCTTGTTCTTTAAGAAGCATCAGCATGCAGCTTATTGAGTCTTTGACACCATTTTGAGTGAGTTGTGAATAAACACTAATTTAATCTTCTTTACAGTGCTATGCAGCATGAGTATTGTGATCCCCACTTCATTGTAGACCCATGGGTATTAATTAATCTTTAAGAAAATCATAAAACATGTATGGTCTGCACAAATACTGAACAATGACTACTACTGAAACCTATACTATGATGGATTTCTACAAAAAAGAGAGGAGAATATTATTGGGAACCAACATCATAAACTGTGCTAAGTGTTGACATTAATCTTCAAAACAACACATGAATAGGTACAGAACTTACTTTAGAGTCCCTGCCTCACTCACTCATTCATCATCTGGCTTTAATTCTTCTCTATGGTGAGGATCATAAACAGAAAAAAGGAAGGGAAACTGGACTACAATGACTTAAAATGTTGTCATCCATGATGTGATGGAGACATTGTTCACTACGGAGATGGCTCTTGTAATGGAACTGAAAGTTGGAGTTGCTTTTGATTAGTCTTCCAGTATTACCAAGAAGAAGTGTGTGAGTGTGTGTGTGTGTGTGTGTGTGTGTGTGTGTGTGTGTGTACATGCACATGGGCATGCAAGTGTGTTGAGTGTGGATTGCTATCTGACATCATTCAGCAAAGATTCTAGGAAACAACAGATGATGTTTGTCCTTAGCTCCATCAGTGTATGTTTAAAATCCCCCATGGTGATCTTAAGTAGTCATGGGTTAACGTGTTTTCTGTTGTGCAGAGCAAGGACAGCTTCCACCAGCATCAATATGATACTGTGGTACACTTTTATGCACAGGGTTGACTGCTTGGAGAAGACAGAGAAACTGAAATCCTCTATGGAAGAAGAGTAAATGGGTGCTGTGTAATAGTTTCCTCTGAGAAGAACATCCATCTTGAAGGGGCATTCCTTAAAATATAGGAAGTCTAAAGGGAGGTGAAATGTTCCACCCTGAAGGGAACCTGTTAAGTTCTGGAAGTAAACAGCCCAATAGCTTCTAGAAATCACTTAAAGTGACTAGATTCATTAGTTGCCTCCCTCTCCAAGACTATATAACCAGAAGGGAATGCTGCAATGCTCTCTTTGCACAGAAGATCTACCTAGAAGAAGCATAGACCAGCTGAGCTGCCTGGAAGAAGCCCAGACTATATGAGCTGCCTACAAGAAGCACATTCTAATTAATTTGTTGAGCTGCCTTCAAAGAGTAGTGTGCTACAGGTTCCCAAGTTCCAGGAGCCATTATCACTACTAGTATGGGCCTGATCATGCAGCTATCTTTGAGTTATTTCTGCTCCTGTAAGTAAATCCTCACTCATAATTCTTTATGTAACCCAAATACAAGTCAGTGGTTCACCCATAAAATTGGACTTTGGTGGTATGCTGACTTCGATCTATTTTGGATGAATTGATCTTTTGTTCATCTCTCTGTAGGAATTGTGTCAAACAATAATGGTCATGATCAAACCACCACATGTACATATATAGAAACATCCCAGTGAAACCCATTAATCTGTGTAGCTGGCATGTGCCAAAAATGTAAATGAAGCAAAGTAAGTGACTGGCAGTGACTAAACACTGTCTGAATATAAAGCAAAGTCTATAGGATTTCACCAACATTCTTTTGGCTGCTACCCAAACAGTCTATTCTCATTAGGATCAATATATTATTACAAAATGAATGTTCTTGGCAACTGCAGTAAAGAAAGCTCCCTTCCCTGTCCTCCTCCATCTTTTCTGACATCTTAAGTATACACTTTATGAAACTAAGCTTGCTATGACATATGTTGGAGTGAAATCCTAGATCTCTGATTCTGGGGGGCAATTGGTTATGTCTTAGTTGATACTCACTAGCTGTTGATACTCATTGTCATCTCGGCTTTGCCTCCCAGTCACCTAGGAGACACACATCAGGGTGTGCTTGTGAGGCTATTATTACCAGAAAAGTTTAGCTGGGCAGAGAAGACCCACCCTGTATTTCAATAATGGCATCACATGGCTGGGGTTAACAGACTCCATAAAAGAAGGAAGAGAGCTGACTATGGGTCAGGAATCTCTCCTGCCACCATGTTTACTCCAGCCACCATGAGCTGGTTTCCTTATGGATGTAGCAGACAAAAAAAAATCTAAAACTGTTTTTTTTTATTTTATTGTTATATGAGATTTTTGTTTCTTTTCTTTTTTAGAAAGATTTATTTATTTATATGTTGGTTTTGAAGCTTTTTTTATTCTCTTGTATATTATATCCTGACCACAGTTTCCCCTGCCTCCACTACTCTCATTCCCCTACCTCCTCTCACCCCCAGATCCACTCCTCCTACTTTTCCCTTCAGAAAAGAACAGCCTGCCCAGGGATATCAACATATCACCTCGTAACAAATTTGAATAAAACGAGGCACCCTCATATCAAGGCTGGATACAGCAATTGCAGTATGAGGAAAGGGTTCCAAGAGTGGGTTCTGCAGGCTCTGTGATTGTTTCCTCAGTCTCTGTGAACCTCTATGAGACATGCTTAGTTGATGCTGTAGGCTGTGTTCTCATGGTGTACTTGATCCCTCTGGTTCCTATAATCCCTCCTCTCCCTCTTCTGAAGGGTTCACCAACCTCTGCCTAATGATTGACTGTGGGTCTTGAAGTGGAGAGGGTGGAGGGATAGAGTCCTGAGATAGACAAGGTGAATTGGGGGCATTTCAGGGGCAATGTGGAACTTAGTGCAGTGGAAACTCTCTGGAATCTACGAGGGTGACCCTAGTGAAGACTCCTAGTAACGAGGGATATAGAACCTGAAAAAACCATCTTTTTGAAGCAGGCAAGACTTCCAGTGGTAGTACTAGGACATCAAACCAGTCATAAAATCTTCAACCTACAATTTGTTCTGCCTGTAAGATGTGATAGGGTAATAGTGGCTCAGATATTATAGGAGTGGCCAAATAATTACTGATCCAACTAGTGGTCCATACCAAGAGAGGGAGTCTGACACTACCTGGATGGCCATAAACCAGAGGCTGAATAGACCAGAGACCAGAGAACTAGAACAGGACTGGCAAAACAACAAAATATAGTCAATGAAATGGTCCCTAATGGTATGTATTTATATATATATATATATATATATATATATATATATATTTCTCTATACATATAT